AAATATCTGTAGTTTTCAATTTTTTTTTGGCTAATTTAAATTCAGTAAGAATACTGTAATTTTTTTCACATCATTGACAGTTTTGGCCTGTTTTTGTGCCACTAGATGTATTTATAAGAACAATTATGTAAACTAACGACTGATGTCATGTCGTTTTGTTTGTTTAAGTACAAACAGCAGCTTGTGACTAAAGTCCACGTCATAAATCTGTATTTTTACAAGCGGTAATTCATTATTTTTTCTGTTTTTTACTATATTTAAATGAGCAGCGTGCTGCTGTGCATGACTTGTCTGCAGCCCGGAGCTGAGCAGCCGGCCGGGCCTTGTTTGGGTTAGTTCAGGGTGGAAGCTCCGTCGTGGGCAGGCTGGTATTTCCTGAAGCCGCTGCACAAATTACAGTCTCTGAGGACACGGAGCCACAATAGGACCACGGCTACTGTTCTGCAGATCCCGCTCCAGAGATAAGAACGCAGAGAGAACTTTCACCCCCGATAACGATCCGGTCGTGACGGGATGAGGAACCACGAGTTTGTGCAGAAATCACGTCTGAATGAAACAACGTGAAGCCGCTGAAGTGGAGAATTTAAAGAAGTGACAGAAACAGTGGATGTGTTGCCGTCCTCTTTGTTTTTGAAATAGAATAAAATAGTTTAAAAACAGTCGAATGCTGCAGCGTTCAAAAACTGTAAAAATAGCAGCAGATATGTTTGTAAAAATTAGATTTTTTGTAGATTTAAATGCAGTAAAACTCTAATTTTACACCCTTTGTGGCAGAAAGAATGACTGTTTATGAAAAATGTTTGACGTGAACATAATTTTCAGTTCTTCTTTAACAATAAACGTGTAAATTAATGCTTCAATACTGATTTAAATACATAATAAAGTAATTATTCTACAGTCAAACATTCTAAAAGAACAAAATCTAACTTATAAAGATGCAGACATTCGATTTGGACGTTATTTACATGTTGTTTTTTTTACAGTCAAGAAGTAAATTAATGATTATTTTTCTGTGATTTTATTTGATGTTATCTGTAATTTAACAAAACAGGAAACACGTCTACAATCTGTAACCATTTAAAAATGATTTATATGTTTAATTAAGTTACTAACGACTAGATTTGAGTTTAAACTGCACAAAATAATAAGTTCATGAAATATTAGTGTCAGTTAAAATAATATTTGTAGCTTAAAATGTTTGTTTAAATCAGTAAATCTGATTTTTTTATTATTGCGTTTAATTCAGAGGTTAGAACAGATTCCTGAATTACTTTTTTATAGAGATTAATTTATTTTAAAGACTCTTTATTTATCTGAAGTTATAAGTGCAGGAAGAATATTTCAGCACTAAATTCAATTAATAATCGTTATAAATGGTCTTGATTATCATTTTATTTGTTATTGTTTTATTTGTTTTCATGGTCGTTCTGTTAAATGTCCACGTTTTGGTCTCGTTTTCTGTTAAAATCTTCATATTCAGTCACGTTTTTATGTTTTTCTGACTGATATCGTTCAGTTTGAGACACACGGTGGCTCAGTGGTTAGCACTGTCGCCTCACAGCTAGAAGGTCGCTGGTTCGTGTCCCAGTGAGGACACCCGGGATCTTCCTGTGTGGAGTCTCCATGTTCTCCCCGTGCAGCGTGGGTTCTCTCCGGGTTCTCCGTCTTCCTCCCACACAGTCCAGAAACATGCTGAGGTTAATTGGTGATTCTAAATTGTCCGTAGGTGTGAATGTGAGTGTGCTTGGTTGTCTGTCTCTAAGTGTAGCCCTGTGATAGACTGGTTACCTGTCCACAGGTGAACCTGCCTTCACCCTGAGTCAGCTGGGATAGACTCCAGCCCCCCATGTGAGGATTAAGGTGTAGAGATGATGGATGGATGGAGCCGATCGCTGATTCAGTTTGAGGTCTGTGATGCTGCGGTTGCCGTGGTAACCGCCTCCAGCATCAGGCAGGTCCGTCTGTCGCCGCCGAGCAGCAGAGAAGCATCCCAGCTGAAGCGGGTCGGCCGGTTTGCGACGCCCACCTGCTGCCTGGACTCAAGGAGGATAAATCAGAGCTCTGCTGCTTCGTCGCCACTTTAAAGCTCATCATGGTCTCGTAACGTCACTTCTGCTCCACGCAAAGAGGAAAAGTCTCTGATCGCATTGTGATTTGATTAACTCCCACTGAGCCCCGATGATTAATTGATCATCGGCCTCGATTACGATCTCTGGTCCGCCTCCGTCAGAGGCCGAATCGAGTCAGAACCGAGCTTCGCCGCCTCGCGTTTGACTCCATATTTAATTCATGAACAACCCTGAACCCAACTCGAGCTGCCGCGAGTCGGAGAAGAGCCGCTTTTACTCATTAATCATCCAGGAGGGGAATTATTCAAGTTTTGGAGGCAGAGGAGGGAAAAAAAAAAAGTTAATTTCAATCGTTGTGCTTCTGTTTGAATCTGTTCTCTGTCAGATTAATAAAAAACACATTTCACAGAACGCTTCTCTTACAGGCGTCTCTGAGCCTCAGTGTGCTTTTATGAGATGTTGTGGCGTCTGAACTCCACGTTTTATACGATCCCGTCTCATTTTAACTCACTGTGGACTCATTTTTTATTGTAATGTGCAGCTCTGAGGAACCAGAACCACGTGAAGACGGAGACAGAACTCAGCAGGACTCAGTCAGAACCACGGAAAAAGAATTATTTTAGAAAAATTGAAGAAAACTGGAGTTGACATGTCCAGTATTTTGTTCTCAGAGCCCACAAGTGTTACCAATCCTGGAAAAAAAACCTCTACATGTTTTACTACATGTACTTTTAATTTAATAAAATTTTTATTCTTATTATTTTTCGTTTCCACACTCGTTTCCTCTCTGCTCTGTGTAAACACCGTCTGCAGTTCAGCCCAACATTCAGAATTTTTATTCCCTGACCGTTGGTCCCACCTGACTGGACCATGACTCCTGGGTTAGGTCGAGGAGCTCAGAATTTTTTCTTTTTTACAGAATCTGTTTTGAGCAAATTGTTTATTTTTGCTGAATTTTCAAACAAGAAACTGAAGTGATTTTGATGAAATATTCCAATTTTAGGCTCAGTTTTAAAACCAGGAACAGAATTAATGATGTGATCAGGAACTGGACCTGAACCTTTAAATACACGTTTGACACTTTATTGACAGTTTGAGCTTTTATTTGTAATAAACAAACAAAAACAAGTCCATCCTTCATGTATGTTAAAATAAACAATACCTGTAGTAATGAGAGAGGGTTTGACGTGTGTGAGTTCTTGTGGTGGTTCTGTGCAGGCGGGTCGGGTGTTTGGGCCATCACAGCGGAGGAGAGGGGGAAGCATGACAAGCAGTTCGACAGCCTCGGCCCGGTCCTCGGACACGTCTCAGGTCTTCATCCTCATCATCATCATCATCACTATATTATATCATCAGACTGATTCATGAAGGTCCTCACGTCTCTGGTTCTCTGGTTTCTGTCTGCAGGAGAACAAGCCAGAAAGTTCTTCCTCCAGTCCGGACTCCCTCCCGCGGTTCTGGCCGAGATCTGGTGAGTTCACTGAACTGGGTCAGCAGGTCTGGGTTCTGGTTTTGAGTGTCTGTTTCCTTCACAGCAGTTTTTATCTTTTAAACTGTTTATTTTACTGATTTTATGATTTTATTTTATAATAAGAAGAATTTGTTCTTTTACAACATTTGACTATTTTTTTTAGTATTTTTAAGTCTGAAAAAAACAAAATAATTTTACAAATATTTGTTGTTATTTACAAGAAGAAGTATGTTTATTGGTGTTTTAAAAAATTATAAATAATTTTTTAACTGTTATTTTACAAATGTTCCCTGTCGTGATAAAATATCTCAGAAAATCATATAATTTTTTTTTTATTGTTAATTTACATGTTGGCTGCAAAAAACAGTCCAAATAGTTTTATTTTATAGTCAAACTTTGTAAAAGAAAAAAATCTCCATTTATAAAAATACAGGTTTTTCAGGTGGACATTATTTTTACAGTTAACATGTAAATTATCATTTTTATTTATTATTTTCAGTAATTTACGGAAACAGAAAAAAGTTTGTAAAGTAGCAGAAAATTATTAAAAATGTTACAGCTTTAAAAAACCTTAGATTTTTCACAAGTAGTCTCAATTTTTAAACTTTTTTTAGTTTATGTTTCCGGTGTGAGAGCAGAACCTCCTTTATTTCCATCAGCGTTACTTCCTGTCTCATCTGCCTGCTCTACCGCCTCCAAACCCGAGTGCTCAGACTTTAAACGGGTCGCGTCTCGTTGCAGGAACCTGGCCGACCTGGAGGGCGACGGGAAGATGGACCGGCTGGAGTTCTCCATCGCCATGAAGCTGATCAAGCTCAAGCTTCAGGGCCGGAGCCTCCCGTCGGCGCTGCCCGGCGTCATGAAGCAGCTCCCGCCGTCCGGCGGCGGATCCGGCGGCGCTGCATCGGCTCGACTCGGTGAAACACTCGCTTCTGTTTCCTTCCTGTCGAGCGTTCCTTCATCTCAGACTAACGTTTTGTTCACATTTCAAGATAACATCAGAACGCTTCAGTCCTGCTGCACTGTGCCGTAGAACCGGATCAGAACACTGAACATCTGACAGAAAAACATAGATTTAGAAACAAAAATTAAAAAACTGATGGCAAATATCTCTTAAATAAGAAGAGCTTTAGGTCGATTTTAGATTTGAATGCAGTGAAACAGGATATTCAGGTTATTCACTGTCAGCGTGTAAACTTCTGCTTGTTTTGTGATTTTACTTTTAGATATTATTTGTAATTTAATGAAGCAGGGAACATCTGTTAAATTTATGAACCATCTTTCAATCCTTCATGTACAGATGTTTTCAAATCAGGGCAAATATCTGCAAAGTAAATAGAATTTTTACTTAAAATTGTGTAATTTTATAGTCAAACATTGTAAAAAAGAAGAAATTACTGTTTGTGAAAAAGCAGATTTTTGACATTATTTACATTTTTGCCCTTTTTTTTAAAGTCAGCATGTAAATTAATGATTTTTCTGTGATTTTACTAGATTATTATTATTATTATTATTATTATTATTATTATTATTATCATCTGTAATCTAACGTAACAGAGAAAATGTGTAAAGCAGCAGTAAGCTGACATGATATCAGAGCGACTGAAACCCGTTTCTAGTGCAGTCAGTTGAAGCTGACCCGTGTCCGACCCGTCCATCTGGTCCTGACCCGTCCATCTGTCTCCTCCTGCAGGAATGGGTTCGATGCCCAACCTGTCCGTGGGTCTGTCCTCCATGTCCTCCATCCTAACCCCCATCCCAGCTAACCCCGGCCTGCAGCCCCCGGTGCAGCCTCTGCTCCATCATCCTCTGGGTCAACCTCTGGGTCCGCCTCTGGGTCCGCCTCTGGTTCAGGCTCTGGGTCCGCCTCTGGTTCAGGCTGTGGTTCGGCCTCTGGGTCAGCCTCTGGTTCAGGCTGTGGTTCAGCCTCTGGGTCAGCCTCTGGTTCAGCCTCTGGTGTCCATGACCCTGCCCCTGGTCTCGGGGCTCCACAACGGCAGCCTGCTGACGCCGCCGCCGGCCCCCAACAGCGCAGGTCGGTCCTGCAGAGGAACCGGTCGGGTCCGGGATGAACCCAGACAGATTCTAAAGAGCCAATCAGATCGATTTATTCACACAACCAGGATGTTTATTGGAGGTTTGATCAGGATGTAGGACGTAGTGAAACTGAACTCGACCTTAAAATTAAAACGAATGCAGCAGAAACAGTAAAAACACGTTTCACTGAATCATTTATCTGCTCACAAAGCTCCTTTTCTCTCCTGATATTATCTGTAATTTAACAAAACACAAACAAAAATCAGCTAAATTACATTTAAACAGTAATTTGCACCATTTTTCTAAAATATTCATCATTTTTGTAGATTTAGAAGCAGAAGAATTGTGTAATTTAACATCTTTTTGACATTTAATTAGTTAAAAAAAACGAATTTTCTCCTGTGATATAATCAGCTAATTTCTGTAATTTAACAAAACTGAAAAAAAATCTGTTAAAAAAATTATATTTAAACACTGATTTACTCTTTTTTAATCCTTAATATGCTTTTTTTATTTTAAATAACAGCAAATATCTCAAATATATTGATCTTTTTTGCTGATTTAAATACAGAAACATTTGTGTAATTTACAGTCAGACGTTGTAAAAATGCAAATTTAATTCGATATTTTCTGCACACACAACAAGGAAAATCTGTAGAATAGCAGTTTAAATGTGATTTATTGTTAATTTTTAAGATGATTAATGTGCCTTTAATTTGACCGTAAGTAGCAGAAATATGTGGAAAAGGAGCAGACGGACAGTTTAGCTGAATAGCAGACAATAAAATATCTGAATTTCAGATTAAAAATTGAGAATCACAGCCTGGAAAAGAGCTCAAGTCACAGCTCAGAGTCTAAAAAACAGAATTTAAGCAGCAGAGAAACTAAACACAGGTCGAAAAATGGGCTAAAAATATAAACACAAGCAGAAAAATACAGTCGTAAAATACAAAAACGTACATTATAGAGTCTAGAGTGTCACAAATAAACATTCCTCAGTTGTGTTTTCATCATTAAATATCTCCCAGTAATTATTAAACACTCCTGCATTAGTGAAGCATTAAGACGCTGATTTTAAATATCTCTCAGCTCCATAAAACTCTTATTTCTGAGGCTTTGGGGGTACTTTTGCGTTACAATAAGGAAAAAAGAAGAAATTTGGTGCAACAGCTGCTGATGTTTACAATAAAAACGAGTGTTAAAGAGTCTCGGTGCAGCTTAAAGACAGAACTAACACTGAATACCACTCCAGTGCTCTGGTCTGGACTGATTCTAACGTGTCTGTTATGAAACCAGCAGCGACTCCATGTGAATGATTTACAGGCAGCAGAACCGTCCTGCTGGAATATTCAGCTCGTCAGGGTCAGATATGGAGCTTTAATCTTATCTGTCTGCTCCCTCCGGTCCGATCTTCGTCCTCGGCTCATGTGTGTCGGATGCAGCCGGGCCTCGGCTCCACCTGGTCCATCTGCCTCCGCCGTCCCCGTCCAGCGTTCAGACCAACGGCCCGAGTCCTGAGTCCTGCTCGTTTGTGTCGCAGCTCCTCCTGCAGATAAAAACCTCGTCGTGTCGATAAACGTGCAGCTCTCTCTCTCTCTCTGTCGTATGTGCTGCGACTGTAAAGCACCGGCAGATAAGATTAGATGTTCAAGGGCAGCTGCAGAACGGTTACATGAGGGATTGTTTAAGAGCTTCTGCTGTCAGACGTCAGGAAAGAACCGATTACTGGTTGTTTTTTAAAGGTTTTTAGAGTTTTTAAATACAGTCAACATGTAAATTAACACTTTTTTCTGTGATTCTATCTGGAAAAGTCTCTAAAACGACTTGATTTATGAATTTTTGATCCTTAATTTACATAATTTATCTTTAAAATAATTGACAATATCTGGAAAATAACAATATTTGCTAAATTTAAATACAGTAAAAAAAAAACAATCTGCAGGTAAATGTTGAAAAAATTAACTGAAAAATTTCCATAAATAGTAATTTGTTCTTTCTGCAGAATTACTGTTTGTAAAAATACTTTCTTTTTAATTTTTAATTTTTTTTAAAAAGATTTTTAAAGTGAACATTATTTACAGTTTTGCTCTCTTTTTGTCTCTTTTTTTTGCAGTTAATTGATGCGTAATTTTGGATTTTTAATTTTTAATTTTTTTTTACTAAACATCTGTAATTTGAGAAAACAGAGAAAATCTATAAAATGTTATTTAAAAAATGTATTCAAAATTTTCAACCTTGAAAAAAAAGTCATTCTGTAGTTAAACATTGTAAAAATGTACAAATTACTAATTATAAAAATACTGATTTTTTACGTGGAAGTTATTTACAGTTTTGTTTTTTTGTTTTTTACTGTCAACATGTAAATTAATATTTTACTAAATATTTTCTTTAATTTACCAAAACAATAAAAAAAATCAGTAAATTGACATTTAAAAAATAACCCAAATTTATACAAATTGTTTCTTTTTTTCCTTCTTTTTTGAAAATTAACGAGTAAATTAATATTTATTTTCTGTGATTTTATCAGATATTATCTTTTCAGTTTTCTACATTTATTCTTTTTCTTAATTTAGTAAAACAGTGAAAATCTGTTAATTATCAGCTTGAGGATTTATTTACAGTTTTTCAGAATTCTTCTTACAAATGAAGGTAAATAAATATCTGTAAACCAGCTGTGATTTTGTTGATTTAAATACGTTTTTTTTTTTTTTCAAAAGAATCCTGAAAAATCTGAATTCCTGTTTATAAAATTGCAGATTTTTAGGCCTGTTTTTTTATTCGTATGTCAGAAGAAGCAGCTGCACTCTGAAGGTTTACCTCCATGTTTTAGTTTATTTTTATTTTATTGTTTGTGTTATATTTATCTACATGTTTTTGTTTGTTATATTTATATTTATCTCCATGTTCTGGTTCCTACAGCGCTGCCTCTGTCGGGGTTCTCCTCTCCCATGACGTTCTCTCCGTCCAGCGGCATGTCGAAGGCCAACTCTCTGCTCGACCTCGGATCCAGCAGGTCAGTTCAGATCATACCAACAA